CGGTTGCAATTTATAAGTAGGTTCTTATCGAAGCTAACAACGATATGTGAACCAATATTCAAGAAGCTCAAAAAGAAGTAATATGGGACGACGAGTGTAAAAAAGCCTTTGAAAAGATCAAAGCCTATCTCTCAAATACTCCCGTATTAGCACCATCGCTTCCAGGGATCCCTCTTAGGTTGTACTTAAAAGTCACCAAAAAGACAATGGGGGCCATGCTTGCACAAGAGGTAAAAGGAAAAGAAAATGCAATATACTATCTAAGTAAGAAAATGCTCGAGTATGAAGTACGCTACACACCGCTTGAGAAATTGTGCTTTGCATTAGTGTAGGCCACAACCAAGCTCGTGCATGCAGTCTTAGTAGTTTTTCGAATGGATCCACTTAAGTATTTGTTTGAAAAGTCTACACTCAATGGGTGCATATCAAGGTGGATAGTCAACTTAGCCCAATTTGATGTAAGATTCATGCCTCAAAATGCTATTAAAGGATATGTGGTCTCGAACTTCTTAACAGATTTCCCAATTGAAGATTCGACGCCAGTACATGACAATGAATTTCCAGATGAAGACTTGATGGTCACAGAACATGATACATGGACTTTATAATTCGACGAAGCCTCAAACCAAAAGGGATGTGGAGTTTGAGTACTATTAGTATCACCTATAGAAGAGCATGTTCCAATCTCCATAAAGTTAGACTTCGATGTTACCAACAACGCTGCTGAATATGAAGCATGCGTGGTAGGCCTCGAAACAGCTTTGGCATTGGGAGTAAAGAAATTATGAATATTCGAAGACTCATCTTTGATCATCAATCAAATATCTAAATGATGGAAAGTAAGGAGTGAAAGTCTAGCCCCTTACCAAACTTATCTGGAAATTCTCACCAACCAGTTGGAAAAAGTATAATACACTTATCAACCTAGAGAGGAAAACCAATTTGCCGATTCTTTGGAAAGACTAGCCTCAATGGTTATGGTTTCAACGAAAATCGAGCAAATGCCTTAAACCATAAAAAAAAGGCATAAACCGGCTTACATTCAAGCTATAGAATATGATGTAGTGGTCAAAGAAGATGAAGATTAAGAAGAAGAACCATAGTACACAGATATACTTAATTATGTCACCAAAGGAAAATATCCTCCTCATGCTGACAAAAGAGCAAAACGAGCATTAAGACTCTTGGCTTTCCAATATGTACTCATAGACAACGAGTTACACAAAAGGGTACTTGTTGGGCCCGTATCAATAAATAACCCAATACATTTAGGGCATCAGTCCATAATCAAGAGACACACCAAGTCAGACAAAACGATTCAATTGGAGCAAAAAAGGCAAGCAAGATCAAGAATATCAATCACGAAGATACTTGCCAAGAATACACCTGCTGCATAGGGAAACATGATAAAATCAAGAAAGATTTTCCGTGTTTGAACATATTCGAAATCTTTGTAACCCTAGTGGCTCCTAGGTATAAATAGCAAAATCAGACAATGTCATTCATGAACGCGGGCATACACCTCAATATAAACTAATTATTTTGTTTATGGCTGCGGATTTATGTCCCTGCCGAACAAGGAAGCTTGTCCTTACTCAGTATTGTATCTCTAAACTTGTCTTTCTAGTCTTATTCCTTATTTATTGCTTACTTACTAATTACTTATTGCTTTGTTATTTCTCTTTATCATTATATTTGATATTTGTAGCTTGATTATTATTACCCCTAAATCCCTAACAAATTCTTAGATGTCCTAACTGAGATTTGCCGAAACAATTTGGTGCCCACCATGGGGCTGATAATCAATTTACCTACCAATCCGCCAAAAACCAAGACAATCACCATGACTGGGCAACCGGTACCTTGCACCATTGCCGAAATCATTGAGGGAATGAATGCGTTCCGTCAAACCTTAGTCTAGCAAAAAAGCCAGATCAAAACATTGTTGGCCCAAAAGGTCCAAATCAAAGCAAAGTTTACTAGCCTAACCAAACAAAATGAAGCCCTACATAGCCAAATACAATCAGTCGCATCAAAAACCATTAACACTAGGAAAAGCACTGAAAGTATAGCCATGGGACTTGACATGACCGGAAACTTCCAAACCTTAAATGGGGAAAAAGGCTCTAACAGCAGGGAACGACCCCTAGACTTAGACTTTTTAGATGTAGGAAATCTGATAATGGACAAACAGGAAGGAATCGAGGAAGGGAAGACAGAAAAAGTAGTCAAGAAGTACCTTAAGGCATTTGAGGCCAAGATGGCTACATAAAGTCTCCTTTCTCAGTTTAGATCGCCATGATAGAGGTGCCAAAAAGGTTTAGCACACCAAATAAGGCCATGTACGACGGTACAATAGACCCTAATGAGCATGTATCCCTCTGCAAGCAGAAAATGATGACTAGTTCAATCCCTAGGGACATCAGAGAAGTCATCATGTGCAAAGGCTTTGGAGCCACTTTATCAGGTCCAACCCTAACTTGGTTCATTAAGTTAGATAATGGGACGATTTGATCTTTTGCTGGTATGGTGGACCTCTTCAAGTTTAAGTTCGCCAGTAGCAGGAAAATCAAGAAGCAGTCCTCAGATCTATACCGTGTCGTGCAAAGACATGGAGAGTCCTTGAGGGATTATCTTAACAGGTTGAACAGGGAGAAGATAAGGATACATAAGTGTGATGCTCCCACAACAATCGAAGACTTCAAAAGGGGATTGTTGAATCATAGCGAGCTCTATAAGGGGTTAACAAAATATCCCTACGCAACCTTTGAAGATGAGCAAGCCAAAGCTATGGCGCAAGTCAGATTTGAAGAGGACGTGTACGCTAGAAAGACTCTAGAACTTGATTACCAGCCAAGAAGGAGCAGTAACTTCCCCAGAAGGGATCATCGCTTAAAGCCATACCAACAATCTTGTTTTGATGAAGGATCAATCAATGTAGTCTAGACAAAATTCTCAAATTGGAGGGAAGATCTTGAACTCCCTCCTAAGTTACATGAATACTGTTTAATGTTAACCCTGCAGGTGTAATCTGAACCTTGATTAAATTAGGAGATACTGTGTAGTGGCCCAAAAAGAACGATAGACCAGCAGAAAAGAAAGATCCATCAAGGTGGTGCGATTTCAATTCAGATATTGGTCGTACAACTGATGAATGTGTCGTGCTCAGGAAGGAAGTTGCTTACCTGGTGAAGAAAGGCTACCTTAAAGAGCTCTTATCAAATAAGACTAAAGCTACAGGGAGGGTGAATGAATCCAAGCAAGGTGGCTGATAAATCACATTTATATAGAGTTTATAGGCACGTTTATGTTAGTTTTATTGTTGCTTTTTAGATCTTTTTGTATCATTTTAGGTCGCAAATGCATAATTTTTTTGTTTATGCTCTATTACGCTCCGTTTTTGTTTTTATTAATATTTTAGGTGATTTTATAGTCATTTGGAAGCTTTCGTAGTGTTTGGAGTAGATTCGAATGATATTTGGATGGAAGTCGATGAATTGAGCTTATTAATCAAAGATATCATCTTCAATGATGTTGAATATGAGGTTTATATGCATGAGAAATGAAAATAGCATCCATAATGATCATTATGCACTTTTCGGAATTGAATTTGAGTTAGAAGCGAAGTTAAACGATGTTTTACAAAGTGGCAAAACTCACTTTTGTGCACTCTTTTGATTTTGAGTTCAAAAGATCGGATTGAGGTGATTCAAACTGTGATGGAAGCTAGACTTGATGAGCTTTCCAATGACAGGTCACACGCCTCAAGAAGCCTTCTAGAACAGAAGAAATGTCCGTTTTAATTTGTTCTATGTACCTTGCGACCAAACCCCGCGCCCACGCGAACTTCCCAGCTCTACTGCCAGGCCGTAGGGCTGACCTGCGCTCGCAGGTTTTGGCGAGTGAACAGCAGCCACGAGACTTTGTCGCTGTCACGTCTTCCCTCATCCCGCTTGCATCGATCATCTTTGTGCCACGTCGTCGTCTATGGTCCAGTAGTAATGCAACTTATATATTTATTATTTTTCTTATTTCTTTTCTATAATTATTTTTAAATTAGTTTTAGGATAATATAAATGCTCAAGGGATATTATTTTTCCCTTCTGCCTTTTTATACTTTTTAATTTACATTCGTTGTAGTTTCTCTCTAGCCCTAGTATTTCATGGATAACTCCATGGATTCCTCCATGGATTTGTCCTTGAATTTTTATACTTTAATTTGTAGAGGTAATTTTATTTCTTTACTTTTAATTATGCTTTTTTTTATTATTTCTAGTTTTTATTATTTATTACATGCTAGAGTAGTTTATTTCTAGGGTTTGGAAATCCATGTTTTTATTATGAATCTTGATTGGTATTTTTAATATTTTGATTATTGATTTCTCTAATTGATAGTGTTTTATTGTTAATCTTGCAACCTGATCAATTGTTTAATTAATTACTGTTAGTAAGAGTTTGAATCGAAAGATATTACTTTTAGAGGCTTACCTACAATTAGCAATTCTAATTACGTTAGCGACCGAACTACATATGTTGAATTTCAGAGCGTTAAGACCTGACTATAGGCTTAGATATTGCTCTAGATAATTGATCGATTAAATTGTTATTGATATTTGATAGATTTAGAAATATAAACTTGGTGAACCATAACCCTAGGTCTTTTTATTAATTGTTTTATTTCTTATTTCAGTTAGACTATATTTCTATCCCAATTTTGTGACATACTTAAGTTTTTCCAATTTCTTAGAAGTTACATTGAATAGCCATATCTCTGTGGATTCGACCTTACTTACCCAACTACATTGTTAGTTGGTTTTGTTAGGAATTTATCTTTGATAGGTGTACGACAACCTATCAGTGGCCCCTCTCCTCCTCCAATCGTCAAGACCATCTGTTTCATATTAGGAGTGTCAGAAGTGTGCGGCCTAACATATTCAGCAGCAAAGCGACATGCAAAATAAAGCCGTATAGATCAACCCGATAGAAAAGGAAGATAAAAAATGGACATCCCAATCATGTTCGAGGAAAGTGACGTAGTAGAAGGCCATCATGACGGCCTAGTGATTTCACTCCCAGTTGGAAATTGCATGATCAAGAAGATCCTTGTTGACAACGGAAGTTCCGCGAACATCATTATGCTCGATACCTTGAAACATATGAACATTGATGAGAAAAACATCATCAACAATTCAACAATTCTAGTAGGCTTTAGTGGTGAAACAAAGAAAACAAGCGGAGAGATTACATTGGCAAATTTTGCAAAAGGGATTAATCTGCAAGTCAAGTTCCTAATGATCAATAAATTATCATCGAACAATATGATTCTGGGTAGACCATGGATACACGAAATGAAATCCATCACGTCTACTTATCACCAAGTCATCAAGTTCCCTACAAGATGGGGTATCCAAGAGATCAGAAGGGACCCTAAAGAGGCCAAGAATGTTACAAGATCGCCTTTAAAGCAACTTCAGTAGAGAAGAGTTTAGCATAGCAATCAGAGGGTCAACTAGGCAAAGAAAAACTCTGTATGGCAGAAGAGAAAGAAGCAATAGAGATCCAGCTGAACCCCGACCATCCAGATCAGAAAGTCAAAATAGGATCAAAATTGAGCATTGATCTTCGACATCAGATCTTAGAGTTGTTGGAAGCTGAAAAAGACGCGTTCTCTTGGACTCACGAAGATATGAAGGGAATCCCTCCAGATGTGATCACTCACTAACTTAACGTAGATCCTATGCATACACAAGTAGTAAAACATAAAAGAAGAAAGTGCTCACCAGAAATGAACAAGGTCACCAATGAGGAAATTCAAAATTTGTTGAAGACAGGAAAGATAAGAGAGGTAAAATACCCAGAATGGCTCGCCAATGTGGTAGGTGTCAAAAAGAAGAACGGTAAATGGAGAATATGCATAGACTTAACAGATATCAACAAGGCCTGCCCAAAAGACCCTTTCCCATTACTTCACATTGATGCCATGGTATATGCAACAGCAGGACATGAAATATTCTCCTTTATGGACGCATACAGTGGGTACAACAAGATCCACATGCATAAAGAATACCAAGAAAAGACTGCCTTCATTACTAGCCAAGGAATCTGTTGCTACAAAGTAATGTCTTTTGGATTGAAGAATGCAGGAGCAACATACAAGTGGCTAGTAAACAGAATGTTTGCAGAACAAATTGGGAATACAATGGAAGTATTTATAGATGATATGGTAATCAAGTCTAAGAAGGAAACTGATCACGTCAAGGACCTCAAAGAAGCTTTTGCAATCCTGAAGCAGTAAGGAATGAAGCTAAATCCTACAAAGTGCACAATTTGAGTACAGTTAGGAAAATTCTTAGGTCACATGGTGACACAAAGAAGAATAGAGGCCAATCCAGACCAAGTCAAAGCCATCCTGGATCTAGAATGACCAAATTCGAAGAAGGACGTACAGAGCTGAATAGGAAAAATTGCAGCACTAAACAGATTCATCTCAAAATCCTCCGATAAAAATAGAGATTTCTATGAAGCATTGAACAAGAATAAGGAATTGAAATGGGAACACTAGCATGACAAAGCATTTCAGAAGTTAAAGGAATATCTAGCCAACCCGTTGATACCCTCCAAACCAAGAGAAGGAGAACCACTCCAATTGTACCTCGCAGTATCTGAAGGGATGATCAGCGCAGTCCTCACGAGGGAGGAGGACAAAGAGAAATTCCAAATCTACTACGTAAGTAAGACCTTACTCAGTGCGGAAACAAGGTACACATCCTTCGAGAAAATCAATTTAGCATTAGTCAGTACTTCAATAAAATTACGCCCATACTTTGAAAGTCATTTTATACGAGTATGAACCAACTACCCCCTCAAGGCCATCATGAGCAAGCTAGAAATGTCAGGAAGGATGGAGAAATGGGCCCTACGTCTAAGCAAGTACGATATACAGTACGTGCCTTGAACCGCAATTAAGTAAAAAGCTCTAGCAGACTTCGTAGCAGACTTCAGCCCGACCCTTGAGGAAGAAGCACAAAAGGAGGTACTAGCCCTACAAGAACCAAAAGCTGCACAAAAATGGATACTCAATACAGATGGAGCAGCAAATGTATGAGGTGTAGGCCTAGGAGTAGTATTGACATTTCCACAAGGAGATAAAGTAGCACAAGCAGTAAGATGCAATTCCAAAGCAACCAATAATAAAGTGGAGTATGATGCATTAATAACAAGATTAACTGTAGCAAGAGACATTAAGATACAACACCTAGAGTTGATATCATATTCCTTACTCATGATGAAAAAAATCAACGGGGAATACGCAGCATAGGACGCCAAGATGATAGCCTACCTAGAAGTAACGAAGAAGCTGATCAAAGAATCCAAGGAATCAAAGATAGAACAAGTACCCAGGAACTTGAACATCAAAGCAGACGCCTTGGCCAACATGGGATCAAACATTAATCCTGATGAGTTTGGAGGTATACCTCTAGTGCACGTACTCTCACCAGCTATAAAGAAGGAATCAACCATGAACATTTCCGAAGTACAAACGGATCCTGCGAAAAAGGAAGAGAGTAGCCGGACGAAACCTCTCAAAGAGTATTATAGGGAAAATTTAAAGCATTACCCCAAACTTGAACCCCACTGTGATAATACACTTAAGCATGGTGGCGTCCAAAGGGAAGGAAGCTAGAGCAAAAGAGTTGACAACAAGTTTTAAGAACTTGTAAACCGTTCACAGGGTGAAGGTTACACCCCTTAACGATCCAAGAGATCGTTAACTCCAAAATGTCTGGAACCAAGACTTGAAGTTCGGGGATGAAGGTACAAATCCAATCTAAAAGAGAAAGAACCTGCCCTAATAATAGGCCTCTACTTTATTCTTCTCGTATTCATGTGCGCTTTCGGACTAACATGCAATCAATAGGTTAACCCTAAACCTGTTTATCTATGTTGGTTGAATATTAATGCACAAATAAATTTATTATTGGCGATCACTTGAATTATAATCAAATTAACCCTAAACAAGATAATTAATTATCTTATTAAGCGTGAATACAAGTACAAATTCCCTTTAAACATGCATAAAAGGTGTGACCAAGCAATAACAATAAATATAATCAAGCAACATAATAATAATCATAAAAATAATCATCACCTTAATAATAATCATGAATCATAAAAATAATCATAATCATGTTAAAGCATAATATTAGCAAGATCCTAGGCATGATACAAACAAGATTAATAACAAACCGTAGCATGTCACTAAACAATAAAAATCAAAGCTTTAACCCTAACATGATACTAACATGGATATTAGGAAAGACAATAGGAAGCATCATAGAAATCATAATTGACATTATATTCTTTACCCTAAACATGATACCAGGAATTTATTGTAGTCACCCTAAACATCAAATTAAGACAAATATCCTAACATGATACTAGGAATCAAAATAACATACTAGACATGATTTCTATATCATAATAACAATGATTACAATTAAAGTACTTACTTGGATGCGTCGTATCTCTTTCTAATAACAAAATACACACGTTAGTAACTTCAAGGAAAATAATAAAATTAAAGAATTAAATTAAATAATTGAAATAGAGATTTAAAGAAAGTTTAGACTAGATTTAGGACCAAACCCTTAGAAAGATCAAACCTTTCACGTCCAGAGCGAAGGAAACTTCGAAGTTGGCTAGGTATGTCTAATGCTAATGTATGAGGAATTTTGTTTGTAAAAGGCTATGCTAGAAAGAGGGAGAGAGAATCAGAAATTTTTTATGAGATTAGGTTAGAGTTGATTATTTGAATAAGGGGAGATACAACCTCTATTTATAGAGAAAAAAGAGAGTTGAAAAATAAGAAATGAATCCGAATTCAAATCGAAATAAAACTCAATGGATTTTGTTTTTATCATATCTTTATATCCAGAAGTCCAAATAAGGCATATAATATGTTGTTGGAAAGCTATTGAAGTCTAATTTCCAACACAATTAGAATCAGATTAAAAAATTTTTTAGATAAAAAGATATGTCCGAAATAGTAGGACAGTGTAAGTTTTGGATAGAGTTTCGTATCTTATTCATATCTTTTTCGTTACAACTTGGAATTAAATTACAATATATTATTAAAAAGATAATTTCAAGATCTATCCAACGATATAAGATTTTGATAATGATTATGAGGCACAAATATACTATCCGACTGTCTTTTAACATCTTTAAATTTGAATAGAAGTAGGATTAAAAAAAGGAAAGATTTTATAAAAGGAAAGTTTTTATTTAACTCAAATACTTTAATCTTATCTTTACAAAAAGGATAATTAAGATCTTTTAGAAACTTATAGAAGCTTCTAATTAATCCTAATTAGTTTAGTAATAGGATTAAACCTTTGGACCCTCCACATGATCATTGGGCCGTAGGTAAATCCGGTTTGGGCCTAGTTTAGTATTTTGGCCATAACTTTCTCAATATTCATCGGAATTGGGCTTTCTGGGCTGACTACCCTGTTTCATGCCACGCAAGCCATGATCTCTTTTGACGGGGGTCACCACGTGGTTTGTGCTCTTGTGGAGTTCTTCGGACACCACCAACACTTTTAACTTTCCTTAGGGTGAGATGATGGTCACCCCAGCCGACTTCAGTCTCATTTTGGGACTGGAGTTTAGTTCGACCGCGCTGTCGTTCGACAGCACCATCAACGTCTACAATCCTAAGGTTGATGAGCTGTTGGGTCTGATTGCTATTTGGGCCCGTGTTGAGGTGGATCCATCACGATTTAGCACCAAGTGCATTTCCTGGTCTACTCTGGCGGTAGCTTTTGAGGACGATGCAACCACCCTAGAGCAGCAGGTGCGCATCTTTGTGCATCTTCACCTGATCGGGACTTATGACTGGGCCATCTTGGCATATGCTGACTTTCTGCGTGCCTTGCGAGACTCCCGTCAACACTGGTCTTACACGGGAGACATCGCTCTGTCCGGCTTCTAGACAGTCGTAGAGGTATACATTGTCTCTTACAAAGTTAGCTCTAAACTTCTGTTAGCACTTGCTGATATCTTTTATCTTTTGTAGATTTGGTTCTACGAGTAATTTCCTTCACTCGCGCCGGCTAGGCCGTCTCCACACGAGTTCCCTGTTGGTGCCTGCTGGGAAGGGCGCTACAGCCGAGCGACTACCGCCCATGTTCAAGAGCTGATCCTTTCGGTATCATCTTTTGCATAGGTATCATCTTTGTATTTCCTTTTGGTAGATCTTTATCTGATAGGCATTCTTTGTAGGAGCCTGAGGTGTCATACCAGCCATGGGGTGGTTTTGTGATCCCTGGGCTGGCCGCGTAGTATACTTCTGAGCGTCGCTACTTCCTAGGGACATATGGGGCGGCAGCGTACCTAGGAGAGAAAGTTCCTATTCAGCAGTCCTCGGAGATTCTTGTCGTCCCTACTCCTCTACCACATCACATGTTCAATGATG